GTGGTTGTTATCGTAATGTCACTTCTGGAGTTCTCATTCTAAATGATCTGTATAATTGTTTGTTTCGATACAAGTATCATTCCCGAATCCAGTAAATGATTTATAAATTTCATTACAAAATCACGTTATCCATGTTTGCCCCAGGGCGTTTCCCTTGATTATGAGCTTGCAGTTAAATTCGCATATGCTTCTAATAGAGCAAATACGACATTTAAAAATGTTACAACAATGGTATAACAATTATAAATATTTAATGAAATCATGACCATAGATGATGACTTGATATTTCGATGATACATCTTGTTTGTCAAAATTACTGCACCAGTTGCATGTCCGTATCTGTAACAGTACTTAAGATATTACACTTATGCATATTATTATAGTGTATATTATCGACATGAACGGGAATAAAGTAGAAACGTTAAACACTTTTGAAGATAAGTCGGCACTGACAGAATTATATTCCGAAAATGTGATGTCAGATCCACAGATGAACTTGAAGGTAATAAATAAGAATAACAAACACACAAACACGTATATATTGATTATAATGAATGTTGATAGTGTTTTAATTGCTGTCTTTGACTTTGTCAAATGTATGACATCTTCAACACGTAGTACTAAGCTGGATTCAGTGTGACTAATATTCAACCAATATACGCGCAAACTGATGATAGATATCAACTTAGTAAGTGTTGTCTTAATATGCTAGTATACACTATTAAACATATCGATATCGTAACTGACAAATTTGTTGCAAAATGTGTGAATATACACGTGTGTGTAAGCGTTAATCTCGGAATTTGTGGCATACAATTTGACCTGATCTGCAGCAGTCCAATTAGAAAATACCTTAGTTGCATATTCAAATCTGAAAAAAAAAGATTGTGGGGTTCTACGTGAAAGCCATGGTGGAGATAATTAGGAGAAAGTTACTTAAAGTATCCTCACCCTAGCCTGAACCCTAACCCTAACCCTAACACTTCAAGCCCCAATGCAATTTAAAATGCCCCTGCAAATAACTACAAGTGACCCGAAGAAGGTATATACAATTGAAAGAGCTATGGGCGAGGTGCCTTAATGAGCCGAAAGTTATTGCAGACGTCCAAGTACACTATTTATAGTATTCCTCTCACAGGTTATGTTGCTATATTGGACTTTGATTTAGATTTTTTGGTAACCCATGCATTTTCAGGCTGTAGCTATTCTTAATCTTATTTATTTTCTTTTTTATTTACCTTTTTTTGGTTTGTTTTTAATTGTTGGCTCTAAATGCAACTGGAACATAACCACTTACAATCTGCAAATTAGTGTTTTATATATATCCAGTCAATTTATCTGAACGAGGTTGAACTCGATTTTGTCAAATTCATCTTTTCACTTCGTTGAACTGGATTTTGTCATATTCATCTTTTCATTTGGTTGAACTGGATTTTGTCATATTCATCTTTTCATTTGGTTGAACTGGATTTTGTCAAATTCATCTTTTCACTTGGTTGAGCAGGTTGAATGAGATTCAACTGGATTTTGTCAAATTCATCGTTTCATGTGGTTGAACTAAATTTTGTCAAATTCATATTTTCAATTGGTTAACAAATTGAATGATTTGAACGAGGTTGACTGGATTTTGTCAAATTCAACTTTTCATTTTATTGAACTGGTTGAATGAGGTTGAACTTGATTTTGTCAAGTTCATCTTTTCATTTGGTTGAACAGGTTTAACGAGGTTGAACTGAATTTTGTCAAATTCATCTTTTGAATTAATTGAACAGATCAAACGAGTTGAACTGGATTTTGTCAAATTCATCTTTTCATTTGGTTAACAGGTTGAATAGGTTGAACGAGGTTGAACTTGATGTTGTCAAATTCATCTTTTCATTTTGTTGAACAGGTTGAACGAAGTTGAACTTGATTTGTCAAATTCGTCTATTCATTTGGTTGAACATGGTTGAACTGGATTTTGTTGAAATAAATATAAAGCAACATTCACTAACATGAAAATAAAAATACATACACTACCAACAATGTCAAATATGTTATCCCTGACAAAAATATTTAATTTGCTCTATTAACAAAAATGTTGTGGTGAGGAAGGCGAGGGATAGAAAGTTCCAACCTGGTGACAAAGTGTTGGTGTTACTTCCCACTGAGCACAATAAGTTGTTGATGCAATGGCAGGGGTCATATGTAATTAAGGAGAGAGTGGGTATGATGTATTACAGAATGATTAGAATTACTGTAACAATATTTTTGCAATTTTGAGAAATGTAAATTTATTGGCAGTTGATGCTGATTATTAGACTGAAAATGTGCCATGTTCAGTCTTGATGAGGGATGATGTCAGCATTCTTTATTTCATGTTTTTGTCATATTACAGGTCATACAGGTTTTCAACTCT